ATATATATATATATTAGGGTGTCATTTTGGAGCAACTTTTTTTTTTTCATTTCACGAATAGCATATATACTTGCAGGAAGGTAAAATAAGATACCTGTTAAAATTTTAGCCCTTAATATTAATATTAACAGGTCGCTCATCGCGATTTTTTATTTTTCATTTAGTAAGATAGAAAAAATTTTATAACTATCTAACAAACAATAATACAGCATTGCGCCACATAGATTTTCTATAGTAAATTTACCGCTCTACAAAAAAGATCTCTTATCATTTTTTCATAAATTCAACCGTTCAAAAGATATTCAAAGTTAAAGTTTGATAAATTTTATTTTATAAAGTTAAAGTTTGATAGATTTATACTTTGAACTTTAAACCTTAATATCGTCTAAATGGTTACATTTATGAAAAAAACAAGAGACCTTTTTTGTAGATCGTTAAATTTTCCACAAAAATATCTATTGATTATTTCATAATTTTTGATAGTCGATATGATACAACATTCATAAGAAGCAAAAACAATTTTTATAAAATTTATCAAACTTTAACTTTGAATACCTTTTGAACGGTTGAATTTATGAAAAAATGATAAGAGATCTTTTTTGTAGAGCGGTAAATTTACTACAGAAAATCTATGTGGCGCAATGCTGTATTACTGTTTGTTAGATAGTTATAAAATTTTTTCTATCTTACTAAATGAAGAATAAAAAATCACGATGAGCGACCTGTTAATATTAATATTAAGGGCTAAAATTTTAACAGGTATCTTATTTTACCTTGGGTTTGTTCGCGTTGCTTGCACTTTTTGCACTCAGCATCTTCGCTTTCTCTCTCTCCAACGGCCGAATATATATTTATCTCATTTCAAGTGCAAAAATGTTTGAGGATTTCAAGCAACGCGAACAAGCCTCTTCCTGCAAGTATATATGCTATTCGTAAAATAAAAAAAAAAGTTGCTCTAAAATGACACCCTAATATATATATATATATATATATACATATATATATATGTTATACTATTTTACGCGATCTATACAGATTTGTATTTATTTATAATTTATGAAGTAAAGTTCAAGATTAAATTTGGACATGAAAATACCATGAAATATTTTTCTTTCCAGGACGATGTGAGTGGAATGTTATCGTATGCCTTTCAAGTGGCCATGAGCCTGATTCAGAATCGTGGATTTCGTAACACTGTACTCCGCTGCTTGGTTAGTCTCTACCGAAATCTTGGTACGCCCGATTATGTCAACATGTGCCAGTGCCTAATCTTCCTGGACGATCCGCTGGCCGTGGCCGAGCTTCTGGACCGATTGAGCAAGGGTTCGCACGACTGTGTGCTGATGGCCTATCAGATTGCCTTCGACTTATACGAGTCTGCAACTCAGCAGTTTCTCGGTCGTGTTCTGCAGGCTCTGCGAGCTACTGCACCCATTCCGGGCGCGTTAATGGTTAAACCGGTGGTTAAGCCATCTGCTGCCGTCGCTGCCAAAACCACGGAAGCTAGCACAGAATCCGCGAATATGGAGGTGGAGGAAGAAACTGCTGCTCCTGCCGGGGAAGAAAAAGCTCAGCGCAGCATCGAGAGTTTGGTGAGTGTTAGTTTTTTGAGAAATAAAATTATGTAATTGATAAATACATATTGATACAGATTTTAATATTAATTTAGGATGTTTTATGAAATTTTTTTTCTAGAATGCAGAGGAGAGAGAACAGCAAGAGCGTGTTGATGCTCTATCCAGTATTCTTGGTGGCGAAGTATCTATCGATTTACATCTGCAGTTTCTGATTCGCAGCAATCATACCGACATGCTGATCTTGAAAAACACCAAAGATGCCATACGAGTCTCAATTTGTCACACTGCCACTGTTATTGCGAATGCTTTTATGCATTCCGGGACGACAAGCGATCAATTCCTAAGGTATCTATCTTTGAAATCTCGTTAGGCGTCTTAATTTTTGCTATTTGAAATTTTAATTTGTTTTTATTTTTTTATAAAAAAATATAATCTTGCAGAATTTATCAGTTTTTAATAATTATGTTTATTACGAATTTTTGATTTAAAGAAAATAATAAAATGGAATATGAAAAATATGAAAAGCAAAAATCTTGCAAAATTTTTAATTTTTTGGAATATTTGTTATCTTTTAGAGACAATTTGGAGTGGTTGGCCCGCGCCACTAATTGGGCGAAGTTGACGGCGACAGCTTCTTTGGGAGTTATTCACCGGGGTCATGAACAAGAAGCTTTAGCCCTGATGCAGTCTTATTTGCCAAGAGATTCTGGTGCCGCCGGTGCCGGATACTCTGAAGGCGGTGGTTTATATGCTTTGGGACTTATACATGCTAATCACGGGGCCGCTATCACAGACTACCTCTTAGGCCAATTAAAAGATGCTCAAAACGAGGTACATTGCATAATTATTTTGGAATATTCTCTTCTGTTAAATTTCAAAATTTTTGTATATAATTAATTAATTGTTGTTGATTAAAAATAGAGTTTTTCTTGTTAATTACTTATTGGCGGAACAAACATATACTTTTCTATAATTAATTAGTTTGTATTGAAATTAAGTATTTATTAAATTATACATAATTTCGGTAAATCTTTTAACAAGTATGTATGTGCCGAGAGTTAAATTTGATGCGATTTATTTTGTTAAACTTGTTTCAGATGGTCCGCCATGGTGGCTGTCTTGGCCTTGGATTAGCCGCTATGGGCTCACATAGACAAGATGTTTACGAACAATTAAAATTCAACTTGTATCAAGATGATGCCGTGACCGGTGAAGCGGCTGGAATCGCCATGGGAATGGTCATGCTGGGATCCAAATCAACGCAGGCGATCGAAGATATGGTTGCGGTAAGTTTAATGCACACTTTCTAGCGCTTTTTAAAATCTAAAACCCTATTTTTCATACTATTTTAAACATCACCAAACTTTAAAAATGTTATTGATTTATATTTGTATGTACCACACTTCGACTCTTGGTGAGAGCGTCAATTGGCAAATGAGTATTTTGCTAAATTTGTTTATAAACCTAGTCAACGTGGCTGGGCGCTCGCGAAAAAGCGTATTTGCCCGTGCACGGCTGGTTGATGTAATGCCGGCCTGCCATTTAGGGGCACACGGCCACCACAGATATTTTTAATTTAATAATATTTAAAATCTAGTAATCGATTGAAAAGAGAAATACATTTTAGTACTGAAAACGTATTTATATGCAAAATATGTTCTTTAAACAACTTATGAAAAATAAAGTTGAAAACTTGGAAAAAATAGGTCTTCTGTTTGTTTTATGTTTTAGTAGTTTATATCGAAAGAATATTAAAATATTCGTTAATGTGAGTTACTGAAGTAATATGAAGGAAGTAATTCTGATTAAATAAAACAATAAAATAATATGGGAAGTAGGTTTATAAAAATGATTTTAATAGGAATACAAAAAATGTAGGAATATGTACAAAAGTAATAAGCGTAAAATAATGGTATTAATTATTATCCGAGTGCAAATGGTGATTTGCTGGCAGTTTGTAGAACGTACTTTCCATGTGCGCTGAAAATGACACGATAAACGAATTAATTAACATCTCGATTAATTAACATGAAGAAAAACGCGAAAGTTTCTGATATTTCTGGATTAATTAACAGAAATAGAAACGATAGGCATTGGGGAGGGAAAAGAGTGGTACCATGTTTTGAAAAAAGACAAATATACATATCGGAGAATAAGAACATCATATATTCACTTTGGATCGAGGGATGGTCCTCCCATGAACACGTTTCCGGCACGAAAACCTGTGGGATTTGCAATGGATTCGACGTAGTAAAGGAAAGCCCTAGAGTGCGCGCAGTTTATCGCCTCGGAATCACCTGCGAATTATTAACGATAAATTAGTTTACTAATTAATGAATTAACGAGTGATATCGACTGATGTTGGTAAGTCTCATTTACCGATCCCTCTGATCGGACCGCATCCTGGTTGCTCCTCACCGCCATTGGGATAAAAATCAGAAGTGCCGATCGCCGATTTTATGCTCAGAATTTTCGTGCAAGTATGTATCACTTGTACTAGAACCGCGTCTGACTTGTCCACTCTTTTTCCTGGTCCTTCGGATTCGAAAGTAAGTCCCGCAGGATCTAAAGCTGTAGATCGGGAATTCATTTTGATCCCGGATCAAGATAGCTGACAGGCCCAGTTTCACAGGTGTCGGTTAACTTTTTACTTTAAATTAACTCACTCTTCGTCTCTTTCTAATATCCATTTCTATCAATGCAGATTAACTTCAATCTCGGTTTAACTTACTTTTTATCTTTTTCTAGTTTTGAAATTAGAAAAAGATAAAAAGTAAGTTAAACCGAGATTAAAGTTAATCCACATTGATAGAAATGGTTATAAGGGGGACGTTAGAAGGAGACGAAGAGTGAGTTAATCTAAGGTTAAAAGTTAACCGACACCTGTGAAACTGGGCCTAAGGAATTGGAAGCTTTTCGCTGAACTTACCGACTACTTCGCCAATCTCGCTAGTCGCGAAACGGGCGCTGAGGCTGGCGATATGCGCTCCTAAAGAGTATCCGATTACTGTAGTCCTGTCAGGATCGAGACCTGCATTGTATTCCAGGAAGTCTATCAGAAAGGCCACGCGTTGCGACACGAATGGCACACTTCTTGCTGATTTCCAATACAAATGTTTAGCTGCTTCTCGCCAATCGATCATGATAACGTTGTAATCGCTAACATTGAGATAAGCTGAAGATATTAACGTGATGATATTAATAGAAATTAATCACCGAGGCTTTTGAAACACTAAAACAATTCATGCTTACATAATTCAGGAGATTATATATCTAAATAAAATTTGAGGATTTGTAAAAAGAACAATATTTTAAAGAAATAAAAAATTGAAAATAAGGAGAGAAAAATAAGAATTAGATATGTTTTAAAGAATCAGGAAATCAAAGAATATTAAATTTGAAAATTAAAAGTTCCAAAATTTAAAAACAAAGTGAGAGAAAAAGTAAAAATGCAAAGAAACGAAGATTTAGAAGCAATTAAGATTAAGTCCTAAGTGCTCCCTACGCGCTTTTCTGTTTTAAATCTTTGTAACTCTAAATCCTTGTAACTTTCCTAGTCAAAATTTTTAAACTGCAATTAATATTTAGGGGTAAAAAGAGTTGCTTTTTCCGAAAATCTAGTCAGCGATGGGGTGGGAAGAAAAAAAAAAAGATATAAAAGTTGAAAATAGAGTAAAAAAGGTAAAAAAAGAGTAAATAACCTCTGATCTTTTATTAATAATATTATTAATAATATTTATTAATAATATTATTAATAATATTTATTAATAATATTAATAATATTCAACTTTATTAATAATATTCAACTAATAAATGATTTTGACTACCTTTTTGAGTAGAATAAATCGATATAATTGTTACATATTTAAGTCCAAGATATCTAAGATCTATAACAAAAATTCTACTAAAAAAAGTAAACGAAATCATTTGTTAATTGAGGGTGCATTCGGGGAGCACGCTATTAGCACAATTATCGTCCAAAACTGTTCGAGGAGACGCTTTGTGGCGCTGTGATATACGATGATGACGTCACTGTAAAGGCAGCGTGACGTCATCACTCGCGCTATTTTCGCTATTATTTTCGAGGTGAGGCACGAAATACTATTGGCGCTTAAGCTGCGTTCGGGCAGCTTGCTATCGCTGTCGCGCTATTGGCTCTTCGAACGAAGTTCATAGCGTTTGCGTTTATAGCGTTAATAGCGTCTCCCCGAATGCACCCTGAATATTTGTCAGTGTGTAGACAGGGGTCACTTATTTTTTTACCTCTTTTTTCACCCTTTATATCTTCTTTCCCCAGATATCCTACCCTATCGCCGACTAGATGTTTAGAAAGAGCAATTTTTTTTTACTCTTAAATATCATTTGCGGTCTAAAAATTTCTATTGAGACTCGAGTTGCAAAGATATAAAACAGAAAAACGCGTAGGGGCTTTTTAAGAGATTTAATGGGTTAATAACAACTCTATATACCGTCTCGAATCTGGGTGCAAGCAGCTCCCTCACAATTTCCTATCCATCCATGAGTGCATGACCAGTCGAGTGGGATGAGCAGGATTCCAAAAACTTTTCTTCACACTATCCAGATCGTCGATGAATACCTGCTGTCCAATTAGCGGGTTATTTCTAAAGAAGAAGAAATTGATCTAAAAGCGATATTTTTTGTAATTACGATGTTGCGCCAGTATATACATATAAATTACTCGAATATACATATAAATTACTATATATCTCGGATATATACATTACCGAGTATACAAATAGAAAGTAGTTTTTTTAGCGGATTCCTCGATCTCTTCGAGTTCTGCCTGCGTAAATTGAGGTTCATTAATATTGATCAGATTTATTGTTTCTCCGTGATCGACGAAAATCGTATAATTAAGATTCGTCGCAATAGACGTCAACAAAGTAGGATACACTGCAAGCAACAGACATCTATTAGTTTAAAGTATTTCTTGGAGATATAATTAAATACGCCACAAATTTATGTAGAATCTGAGAATACTTTTTTTTATACAACTGCGAATATAAATATATCTTTTCCTAACGCGAGCGTGAAATGGGCCGCTTTTCGCGCTTGTTTTGAGTGAGCAAAACGATCCATTTCGCAATGATGACGTAAGCGTTGAAACATGGAGCCATTTCTCAACTAGTGGAGAAATGAAATTGTAAAACAAGCGCGAAAAGCGGCCTGTTTCACGCTCTTGTTAGGAAAAATAGTATGAACTACTCGTGGGAAGAGTGGTCGAGCCCAAATGAGTGTGATAGTCGCACTCGCTTCGCTCGTGCGACCAACTTCACGCTCATTCAGAATCGACCACTTTTTCCACTAGTTGTACAATATACTATTTTTGCATGTAACTATAAGTCCAAGAATAGTCCTTTTTTTCATGAATATTTAATTATGTAATTCGAAGGTAACTAATTCTTTACGTACATAATACGATTGCCGGCGTAGCGATCATCTTTGAAATAATCTTCATGAGTCATTAAAGATGCAGATTTACCTTGTCTTTTATAGTTTGCAGATAGACGTATATTCGGTGGCGTGATCGATAAGTCGTTGATAATATCGATGATATCGTTAGCTATCATAAATCATAGGTGTCAATCAAGTTGGAATGGAGATTAATTAAAAAAAGATTGTAGAAAATTGATGATTATAATCAGATATCCATTTTCTTCAAGAAAAATAGCTTAGATATAATGCTAGTATAAACAAAACTTCTATTCTGATAATTTCAAGTGTTCTGATATCTAATGGCAAGATAGAAAAAGAATTTTTCTGTCGATAAAAATAATGATATAGTAGTGATAAAGGGCTTCAACTAAAGGCCATTGCACGTAACAAAGTTTTAGTTATAATCGTAAGGCCGTAAGAAAATAGACCAATCACACTCGATTATTCTTCGAGATCGAGGAGAATAATTGACTGTGATTGGTCTATTTTCTTACGGCCTTTCGATTATGACTAAAACTTTGTTACGTGCAATGGCCTTAAGTAGGACGTAATTTTGGTTAACTTTATTGTAAATTATGAAGGAAATGTTGAGTATAGATTATTTTAAAAAAAATACGTAAAGGATTCTGATTATAATTAGAAGGCAAACGCCGATGTTAAAGCGAAGTGTATAACAATTACAAATATATAATTATAATTTTGAAACGACGCAAAATAGTAGTGAAAATGTAGTTATGTTCTTTAAACCAGTGGTCGGCTGCGAAGTTGGTTAAAAAGATCAACTAATGGCATATTACGAAATTGACTTTTAAATAAAAGAAAAAAGATT